GAGAGAGAGAGACCCAAATGGTCAAATAAAAGTAAGCTAATCGTCTTTTACTCTACCAGTAAGATAAGTAAAAATGAGTAAGGTCACTTCTAAGACAAGTGAAGTGTAAACTTTGGGATCACACATGTGAAGCAAGTATTTAGAGACTAGCTACTGAGCCAAACCCATCTCCATCATCTTCTCAGTTTATCTTATCAACACTTTTATCACTTTATTTGTTCAACTATTACTAGATCTATTAGCAGAACAAACACCAGCCAAAACTTCTTTGAACTTTATATGACATTTTGTGAAAAAACAAAACAGAGCATATCAACAATTCAGTTTTAAAAAACCTGAACGCCACATTTTTCTAAGATCAACTTTTTTCGCTTTCCCATGACGACAGATCTTTATTAGTTACATATCTTTTTGATATCTTTTCAATGTGAGGATCCATTAAAAATTATAGTCCGATCCTCACATCGAAAAGATATGTGACAGAGAAAGATCTGCAGCCACGGAAAAGCAAAAAAATTGACGGGGGTTTCTTGAACTGATCGGTTCATGTGTCATGATGCGATGGAATCAGGCTATTGTCAGTTTTTGAGTATGAGGAGTCATTGGTATTATCATAAAGCTTGTTCTCACTGTCTTGCTTACAATGAAAAAAATACCCATGTATCTTGAGGTAAAGAATGATTCATTTCCACCTGAAGGAGGTGGGGGCTACCGGGTTTCAAAGGTAAAATTAGTATGAAAATGGTTGCCAAAGTTTTGTGACTTCCAAAGTTTGAGAGCCACTGAAAACTGAAAATTGACATTTTTGTGCCTTTGATCAACTTTTCCAGTAAAACCCACACAGAAATGTGTTTTAATTGGACATAAAAGGCGTTGAGTCAAAATTTTTAAAAATCGCTTAAAATGTCCAATGAGTGGAAAAAAATGTTGGTTTCTTCGTTTTCATTATCACGACGAGCACCTGGTTTCACCACGATGCAACATTTAATTATAAGACGTTCTTCGAAAAACATACTTATTGAATCATCGCTATCAAATCTGTTAATAATCTTGGATTTCTATGGTTGCCATGTTCATGGTGGCCACCAAAGACTGTCTAGGTGCACCAGCAAAAAAAACTCAACTGAGGTGGTAAATTTGTCTGGGATGTTTTCAGGCGTTTTTCTCAAGTTAACTAAATCAAATTTAAAGTGAATATAATGCGCTTTGTGATGAAGCTCAGCGTAAAGTAAGCTATAGTCCTCGTCAGGAGGAAATCAGTATGCAAATAGGTGAATAATAAATATAAGCAGTGCAAAAGGACGGCACAAACCAAAAAAAAAAAAAAGCAATCATTTAAAAACTTCTTCAACAAGCCCAAAAGCTACAAACGTCTTTTAAGGGGATAAAATAAATCAACAGAATATCATTTCGGTTCCTTATCTCAAGGAAAGTATACAGATTTTGGGCTGTTTCAACAACATAGTAATTAATACTCGGATACATACAATACAAACTGGTAAGTCACATCATGTACCAGCAAATGTAATTTTTAAAAATCGGGAATGGGGAATAAAAATACATTGGAATAACCTAATCATTCATAAATCAAAGAAATCCAACAACCTGAAATCAGAACAATAACAATAAAACTGTACTGTAAGTATGGTTAGGTTGACATCCTGCACATAGGGAGGACAACACTCTCCCCTTGCAGGTGAAATCCTCGAGCCTCAAACAAAATTCTACCTTGACAATTCAAAATAAATTTTATAGAGGACTTTACACATGAACATGAACAGCCATACAAGTAGTCGACTACAAAAATTAATTTCTAGCAAAAGTAACACACTGATATTATCAATGACCTCAAGAAATATTTGAGAGAAACCATTCTCACAATTCTAAAAACTACCTGAAAACGTAAAAATTAACAAACATTTAAGTTAAAACCTGGCACTACGTCTCTCTGTATGAGACAGATGCATGGTGCCATAAATGAAACTTGTCTTTTAAACAGCAAATGAAAGATTTGTAAAACAAAGTAATCCTCTTCTATAAACATGAAAATACACCCCTAATGTTTATCTATATCAGAGCAAAGGATGAGAATCTCACACGACGGACCCTGATAACATGCCATCCACAAGTTTTCTTGTGTTCTACCTCTTTTACTTACAGAAAAATATAACTGTTTTAGTCCAAACCACTGTAACTAGACTTAGGTGTTACACATTATGGGAAGGCCAAGAAGACATAATTTCTTCTTGAACTGCTTAATTATAGCCCGCTGTCCTTGACTGATTTTGTGAAATTTTAATTTGCTGTCTTTTTGTTGTTCAAATGTTGTTTATTGATAACTTGAATTGAGGAACTCCCTCAAGATATTTAGATGGTGAATGATGGAAGCTATCCTTGATTTAAACCTACAAGAGGATCATTATGACACTTGTAAGATAAGTAGTGGAGAAGAAAGTGACAGTTAACTGTACAAATTCATTACATTAGGGATGTGAAGCATTGCATTGGCACATCAAAGAAAAAAAATCATCTCAAGTCACGTATCAAACTGTCACATTATTATCACATATCTGGAACCTTTGAACTTGTTCCACAAATTGCTGTCCTTTGAACTTGTTCCACAAATTGCTATTTAAGCTACCACATTTTCTCAGGCAGACTGACAAGTTGCAAAACAAATGGATATATAACAGTAATTAATTAAATCAGTAGAAAGGCAGACACATTTCATTTATGAGAGTAGTAGTTGGGTATGAAAAGTAGCAAAAAGGGAAACAGAAAGAGACCGGCTGATAGTGATTGGCTTTACTTCATACAAAAAAACTCGTACATTAATATTTTATCTATTTTTTTCCCCTGAAAAAAATAATCTTCAATAATTGTTGGCAATCTATTGAAAATTTATTTTTCTTATGATTGTAAAATTCATGCCAGATACCAATTTAGACAAGATGGTCTATTCCACTTCACATTTAGATGGAACTCAAGGTTTATATATATTACACAAATTAAAGGTGTTTTTTCCTTTATGTAATGGCTAAAAATATTTTCCAAATTTTACGGAAGTGAAGCATTGCATTTATACAAGCTTTGGAGTCATAGCATGGATTCTATTTGATCTGTTTGAAAGTTTTTAAAGGAATATTCCCTTCTTATGACTTTTTCTTGTTACTCAGTATTTAACTGTTTATTTTCCCATTACTTCGCACTTGGGCATGTGATCAAGCACACACACACACACACACAAATATGCAAAGACACATACAATTAACTTCTTAGCACAACCACCTCATTAGGCATTTATTGCATGATGCAACCATCATTGCAAATATTCTTATCTCATCAATGAAAGCTCATAAATCAAATACAGTATAATCCACTTACATCGACAGCCGATATATCGGCATTTTGACATATCAACATATTTCCCAATTACGAAATTTTTTCTTCAATATCTTCACTATACAATTCCTCTTATATAGACTTTTTTTTTTCGGCCCATTCTGCTTCATCGACATGCTTCCTGGGTACCTGGCGAAGCCCGCGAACATAAATGGGGGGAAAAAGCCACACTAACGGTCAACGTATTAGTTCTTCATTAAGTCTGCGTACCCGCCAAGTAGCCTATTCAACACACCAGGCTTTAGTAGGTCATGTAGGGCCTACAGTGTAGTCTCCAACACAGTACAGTGCCTCACAGACGTCAGCGTCTCACATGCTGGGCATCACCTCTCTACCCCCACTCCCGATCGCTCACTCCCCTTTCCCATCCCATTCTCAATCTGTCGCTGGCAAATGCCACGGTCAGAGAGTCAGTGCCTTGCCTTTTCATTTTCCCCAGCAGGCGGCCATAAACAGGCCTTACAAGGATGCTACAATAAAGTTTGTGATTGTGTGTAGCGAATGCCTCGCGTTGCTTCGGTCTTTGGTACCGTAACTCCACCCCCCCCCCTCTCCTCTGCCTCTTGTTCATTTCAACGTGTAGTTGTTTAAGAATCATGGGAAGAGATCAGCTTTAAAAAGTAGAGTTGTCTTTTTACCGCTGACCTCCCCTTGTTTTTTCCTCTTTGGCTTTATATTTCATTTATCAACAGTTTTATATTATATTAACATTAAATCCACTTCCCAGAGTATGTCGATATAAGCGGATTTCCATAAATGAAATCTCCAGAAACAGTTCACAGCTGTGAATTATTTCTTTAGCGATGGCTTCCACGCTTTGATAAAGCTCGTTTACAGAAATCATCCACATCACGTTTCTCCCTTTCTGTCATAGTGGACAACAAGACTCCTTTCTGTGACAGCTCCTCCTGAACTCTGGATAAATATGTTGAATCTGGGTATCCATAGCTGGAAAAGGAAAAGTTTGAGAGAAATTCTATTAGTCTTAGTGTACCTTTTCAAAGATATTTCACATTAGACAAAAGAAGAACAAAGAAAAAAGCCTCATAATTTGACGCAAAGCAAGACTTCTCTAAAATCAAAGAACAAGTTCAAGAGAAAGACAATGAAGCTAAGAAATACTTGAAGGATGTACAGCCACACGAAAGCCACATTAAAGCCAGCACAGATTATCCCTTCGAGCCCTGGCCACCAGTACACAAGTGGCAAGTAAAATTGCCCAAACACATAACCACCAGTGCACTAGTGAGCAAGACTCTTTGATTCCAGATCACCACTAAAGAGTCATTTTTGGTTCTGCATATTAACAGATCGTCACTTAAGTGGCATTTTGTGGGTTCTGCTTTCATCAATTCCAAATCTACAGCTGGTCCTGTGTTACATTTACTACCTATTTTTACCCATTTTGTGAATCTCTGTCCAATTACGAATAGCTTGAGTGCTCACACAAACACCATCAATATCTGACTGAGTTATAGCCATTTTAAGGTAACATCCTTTGCCCCCGAGGTGCATAAAATTGTGGAATCATTTAATTATTTACCTAATGAAAGAGTTTAAAGCCTGTATCAATAAGCCAGTCATAACAGCTGAAGTACATTTACTTCGGATAAGGTCTTGTCAAGATATCTGCGCCCATGAAAAAGTTGTGAACATACAGGAAAAAATTAAGCAATTTCATCAAATATAGGCCACAGTCACCCAAGAGGTCCGGCAGAGGGTTCATGGCAGTCTCATGAGGTCAAGACTCAAAGAATTAGTGCAAAGCAGAGCTAAAACACAGAGTTCTGAATATTCCTCTCCTCACTACTGACACCGTTCTCTCATGACGACGTGACAGAATTTCACATATATCAACCTCATTCTCTGAAATGGATGCATCATATTATTTTGTAATGAATTTTTGTTTTAGAGACCCAGCAGCCTGTGGGCTCAGTCCAGAGCACCACCAGAGCAGGCACTTTCAGTACTAAAGCATTACTGTCATAAATCAGGGCTTTATCTAGATCTAGAGACCGTATTGAGATAGTACTTTCATACAGAGTATTGTGATCTAGAACTAATAGACGGCATTCAAAAAAGATGGTCTGATCTGTGTGTGTGTGTGTGTGTGTGTGTGTGTGTGTGTGTGTGTGTGTGTGTGTGTGTGTGTGTGTGTGTGTGTGTGTGTGTGTGTGTGTGTGTGTGTGCGTAAGAGGGAGGGGGGAACAAGAATCCCCCCCCCCCGCCCCAATTACTTCAGAGTTTACACCAGATATCTCGCTCTGGGACTAGCTTATTAGTATTTATTAAGAGTACAAATAATAAAAACAACAACAAAAATTATAAAAATAATAATGGCACGTACTTATACAGCATATTTTACTCTCTACAGCATGCGTTATGCACTTTACAACTGTAGGTCTACACTTTTGCTTTCTCATCAACATTGTAAGCTTGCTTTAATTGTTGGACAGTTACACAGAATGGACACCAAAGTAGATCAACACCCTGTATGGTTATTTTACAGAGGTGTGAAGGCGCAGTGAAGCCATAAAATATGCCATGCGTATATGTGAACTAAGCCTACCTTCACAGAGACAGTAGATGTAGCCTACAATCTACCGAAGGTCATGCAACACACTGTTTAGGCCAATTATTAATGAGTATAATAAACATAGGCACAGGGTTGTTGTTGTTTTCAAATCCTTTTAGCTACGAGCATTTCGCTCTTGGCAGCGCAAAGCCTCCCTCAAGTAACCACATGTCCTTGTCATCTGGTCAATGCCAAAGTAGAGCAGGCTTTGTAAGTCTGTAGGTGTGGGTAGGAGCCTGTGTCAAAGAACTGCCAGGTTTGGGCAGAGAAGGAGAAGATGTTCAACGGTCTCCTCGTAGTAGTCACAGTGTCTGCAATGGGGTTCCCACATGGGGTTGATTCTGTTTATGTGCTTGTTGGTGTGTAAGTGTCCAGTGCGGGCTCTGAAGATCAATGTCTGATCGACTCTACATAAAAGATTCGAAGGGTCTTTGGGGTTGGGTTATTCCATGTACCCGAAGAGAGATCTTCCTGTTTCTGAGTTGGCCCATCTGTTTAGCCACTCGTCTCTGTTTTTGGCTTGGATGATCCCTCTACAGGTCTGTAAAGAGGCAGTTGTGTTTGTCTGGGGCAGGCTCGCTCCAGTCTTTGATAGATGGTCTGCAGTCTCATTCCCTGGTACTCCAGAATGGCCAGGCACCCACTGCAGTGTGACCCAGACACCATAGGAAGTGCCCATCTGTTTTACAAGGCTGAGGATGTTCCCGTCACCTCTGTAGTCTCCTCCTCCCTCGACGGCTTGGAGTACTGACATTGAGTCAGAGAAGACAACAACATCTCCTGGTGTTACTGCGCCTTCAAAAAAGTCTTGGGTGATCTGCTCCAGGGTCTTTACTATGGTGATTCTCTCTGCGTCATAGTAAGAGCTGTATGTTCCACAGGGGCCAAATAGTTGGGTCTGCTTCTTCTCTCCAAGGTTGTTTCGATATTTGATGGTAGATCCGTATCCAGCATTCCGTGTAGCGTTTGTTGCTGACCCATCTGTGTATGCATGGATTGGAGTTTCAGCATACGAGTCCACTGTCTCCAGGGCGCTAGTTCTGAGGATTTCTTCTGGTGTGGTCTTGTCACAAGAAGGGTCTAGAAGTCTCGTCCTTATTATGATTTCTGGTGTCTGCCAATATGAAGGTTCGCTGCTGATGTTGGTGATTGGTTCTCTGTTCTTGGGTGGGTCAAACTCCTCAAGTAGTTTTGTTGCTTCTCGCATAAAGGAGGTCTTCTGGATGCATGTTCTTGGTTCCCACTCATCTGCCATTTTCCTGTTTTCCTTCGTGTCTTCTAGCCGCACAAACCTTTCATAGGTTTTGAGTGTGGCACTCTTTCTTCTGAGGTCCAGTGGTTCTATGTTGGTGTGGATTTTGCAGGCGCTTGTAGGCGTGGTCTTCATCGCGTCAGAAACAAATCTGAGTGCTTGGTTGTGTACTTTGTCAAGTTGTGCCAGGGAGCTTTGGTTGACTATGGATTGTAGTGGTAGGGAGTAGTCAATCACAGATCTGACATACCCTATAGATATAAAGTTGTTGGAGGGTTGCTTTGTCAGCTCCCCAGTTGAGTGATGAAAGGTGTTTCAGGAGGTTTAGTCTGGAGGTGGTTTTCTTGGTCAGCTCCCCTAAGTGCTCTTTGAGAGACAGCTTTCGGTCCAGTTGTACACCAAGGTACTTGGGATAGTCCTCATGTTTGATGGTGGTTCCATTGATCTTCAGGTTTACCTGACTTGCTGTATCTTTGTTTTTGAGGCTGAAGAGTCCAAAAACAGTCTTGTCTGTGTTGATCTCCATCTTTCATAGCTGGCAGTAGGACGAGATAGTAATATCGGTGTGATGTTTGCTTTCTTCCATTCTGTTGGGAGCTGTCCCCCATTCCAGGTCCTGTTGAAGAAGTCCAGGAGTATGAAGAGGGAAGAGTCTGTCAGGTTGAGGATCATCTCATTGGTGACATGGTCTGGTCCAGGGGCCTTTCTCTTTTTACACTTTTTGAGGGCTGCCTTCAATTCCGTCAGAGTAAACTCATTCTCAAACACCTCCAGGTTTGCCTTGGGGGTCTGTTCTGCCCTTTTGGTCAGCTGCTTTATTGTGTGGCTCAGTTTGTTTTGCTTTCCTTTCTTGTTGATGCTAGCAAAGTATTTATTCATAACCTCAGCTCTGCACGTTTCTCCTTTCTCAGTTGGTTTCATTGGGGCGGGGTTTTTCCTTCTTTTTGTACCTGAGAGATTGGTAAGCAGGTTCCAGGCTTTCCTCCCATCCTTACGCAGGTCTAGATTTCCACAGTGTTCTCTCCATGTTTGTCTTTTCCCACTTTTGGTCTTCAGCTTTACCTTGGCAGTCAGGTAGTTGTAGTGCTTTCTGTTTTCGGCTGTTGGGTTCTTCTCAGCACACCATCTGGCTTTCTTTCTGGCCTTGGTTAGTTGTTCCAGTTCTTTGTCCAAATAAGGGCGAAACTTCTTAGGGTTCCCTCTTGGAATCGCTTCCTTAGCAGATGTCTTTAGTGCTGTGGTGATGTCCTTGTAGCACTCATCAATTGGGTTGGTCGTGCATGCATCCAGGAGTCTACTTTCAGATTTCTATTGGTAGAGCTCCCAGTTCGCTTTCTTGTAGTTCCAACTGCGTCTTATGGGGTTGGTCGGTTCTCGTTTCCTGTTGCTGGATATTTGCAGTAGGATTGGACCGTGGTCACTTCCTATGTCATCTAGGACAGTTATGGAGCAGTGCGGGAGAAGGTCAGTAGAGACCAAGGTCAAATCTGGTCTGCTGAGAGTTCCGCTGGCTCTATGAAGTAGGATGGGAGGTGTCTTGTCATTCTGAAGTGAAATGAGGTTGCTTGATCTCAGTAGTTCTTCTAGAACTGTTCCAGTCGAGTCTGTATCACTGTAACCCCACAGTGGAAAGTGTCCATTGAAATCTCCCGCAAGAATGGTATGTTTATGGTCTGCATTCGGGAAGTTGAGCCTCGAAAGTAGATCTCGGTGGTCAGTATACATTGTAGACAGTGTAGGTTGTTCCATCTGACTGCTGCACATTCACTTCCTGCATGTCAGTCTGGTCATCGGTTTCTGGGAGAGAGACCTCAGCGGTGATGTCATTCCGAATGAGGGTTGCGATACCTTGATGTTTGGTGCACTTGCAGTGGTATATTATGTAGCCTGTCAAATGGAGCTCTATCCGCTTGGGTAGCTGGGTTTCCTGTAGCAGGGCTACATTAATTCTAAAGTCTGACAGTGTCTTTGCAAGCTCCATTTTCTTGTTCTGTATTGATGAGATGTTCAGTTGGAGTATATTCAATGTCTGTGTGTCTGTAGGTTGGGGGGTCTGTAGTGTCTGTGTGCTGCTTGTGGCCCCTATACCTGCAGTGTGGGTCCCAGTAGCTGACTTGTCACTCCCGCCCCCGGGTGAAGGCAGAGAGCGCGGACCTTGATAACCGAGGTGACATCCGAGCTCGTATAGTTTCATTTGTCGTAGAGGCATTCTTTGGGTTAGGGGGTTGTGACGGCTTGTATGCATCCCTGTAGGATCTCACGTAGGTGGGAGCGTTGTCCTGACACTGGCTTGTGCCCAAACATCTTGCCACAAGAGAACAAAGGTGCAATGTTCACTGTCCTGTTTCCATCAACCTTCACAGGGATTTCTTTGACAGTAGACAACTGTAGGGGGTGTAGGCACACTCTAGTTCTGAGAGATGGGAGCCACAAAGTGCAACCAAAGACAAGTGATCATCTGAGCAGTCCAGTAAGGGGTCCTATTGAGTAAGGGGTAACGTGTTCTTTCCACAGTGAGTCGTCTGCATCACCAAGCGTAGCTTGTGTTTGCCCAATCCCCGCCACCTGCTGTCTCCCATTGAGTAAGGGGTAACGCATTCTTTCCATAGTGAGTCGTCTGCATCACCAAGTGTAGCTTGCGTTTGCCCAATCCCCGCCACTTGCTGTCTCCTGGCTATCTGTTATTAACATTTCCGTTCATGGGGCAGAATTATTCGAGGGGTGGCCAAAATACTCAGACAGAGGATCGTCACGTCATGGGTCAGTGAGCATTTGCCAGGATATCTGTAGGGATGTCTTCTGTTTCCAGGCAGCCTATTCCTTACAGCTATAAGGCCTTCTGGGTCTGCAGAGACATCTCACTATGAGTCATCTGGCAGTCTGTAGGTACCATGCCCCGTCTGTAGAGCTCCCACGAGAGGGAGGGAAGAAGTTGTCGACAGTGAGTTCCTGAATGAACAGGTTGGCCTGCTGCGACGCCAGACCTACCATAATGGTGGATGTGTACAAACCTTTCTACGAGCCGAAGGGTCGTTGCTCACTTCGCACCTCACAGGGCTATGGTACCTCCTGACCAAAGCTCCATCTGCAAGCTTTACTCCTATGCACAGAGCAAGGGTCCCCTGGCTGCTCGACAAGGACGGGGAGTTGACTTGGTTGAGGCTGGCTTGCCAGAGAGCGTCTGGGGTTTCACTCTCAACCCTTACAGCCCAAGGTATACTCTAGTCCGTAATTGATACATGTGTTCTCATTATTCAGTGTTGCTACTCTTGAAGTGAGCCACACTTGACAATGAATGATACTTGAGGAGTTGCTAACAAAAATAACCGTACATAACCCTCAAATTTTCTTTCATTTTAGAAACAGGAGGAGTATTTCAGCTAACTGGTAGTTTTCTTTAGATCTTACAAAGTCAAAGAAGAAAAGAATCTGGGATTGATTTTTTTAAGATTAACCATTTTCAGTTTCAATAATATCCATGCATATAAATAATTTGATCTAAATCATATGACATCTCCAGATTAATAAACCTGAGACATTACGTTGTTGATAAATAGAGCAGTTCTCCTTGGCAGAAAGATATTACAAGCATCAACGACAATTCACAAGCAGGCTGCATTACAACACCGTTCACTTCTCTAACTTAATAGTGACATCAATATTTACCTTCAAGGCAATTTATATGGTGAGTGACATATTATTTTGAAAACAAACGGTAAGAGCAAAGACTGCTATGCAAGAACTTCTATTTGAGAAAAGGAACAAAACATGTTTGAGAGCCTGAGTGGCCACATCTGTATTAACAAAACTTGAAAATTTTGAAGAGTACTATTTTATATAATACCTACAAGTAAACTTCATTTCCCTAATAGCTTAATTCTTTATCTCCGACAAGCCGTTCCCAGCGGCTTGCGGTCGGAACCGCCGAACCGGTGAGTCGCTAGGCTGAGAACGGCTCGGGCACATTCCTTTATGATTACTTCGACATCAAATTACTTTTCTGCAATTGCTGAAAACAGGTCTCTTTTACCGGTAGTTCATTTATTAGATGAAAAACTATCAAAATAGATTTGCTAGTTTCCATTTGATGACCCATTAAATGGCGTTTTTGTCATTTTTAGATTTAGCACCAAAAAAGGGCCCTGGCATAGTAGGTTAACCCCCCCTCAGAGATAAAGAGTTAAAACGTTTAAACTTTTAGTTGACCACTACGGAAAATATTACAAAAACAGTATAGAAATTAGCAGTATAACTGTGACGAAACATTTGTTGAATGCTCACATATTAATTATGCCTTGAGCAAAAGAAACAATGTACTTACGACCCTGAACCTTGAGAAGTCTTATGGTGAACATCATTCCAAACAATAACATTGTCTTTTCCAGTCTTTGATGATTTTCCAATTGTGAAAGTCAGCTTTCTTAAGAAAGAAAGACGTAAGAGCTTCAACACTTTAATGCCTTCAAAGTTAAAAGGCAAATAGGCCTTGCGTGATGATCCGGTATATTCCTTTCCAGGGTTTGAGTGGTCAACCTGTTGCAGAAAAAACAAAAAACAAACAATTAAAATTAACAATATCTTTATAAATTTACAATTTTTACACTTTGCAATCACACAGCCAGCAGTACAAAATACCCCATCTGGTCACACAGCCAGGAGAGCAAATGCAACGGACTACTCGGGTCTGGTGCAGTGACCCGAATGGATAATTTTCACCGGCGCATTATTGCGCAAAGTGACTGGAAAGTGTTAATGTGCTATCAAAAACACGAAATTGCAAAGATCTCATAGTCTTGATAAAACTTGCTCCCTTCCTACGTTCTTGTAATTATCCTCTCTTCTTTCTTTGAATCCGGCTCACCACCTAAGTGATGCTTTTGGTTCCACAATTCACCAGCTCGCCACCAGTACCAATTTCGTCAACTCCAAGATCTACATCTGATCCTGTGCTATACACATATTATATTATGACCTGCCTATTTTCACTCATACTCACTGTGACCTTATGTCCAATTACAAATACAAAATTACAAATAGTGCTCATATAAACAAATCCATCAATATCAGATTGAACGACAGCTGTCATAAAGTAACACCTTTTGCCGCTGGCAATGTAAAATTGTGGAATCCCTTGCATACTGAAAGAGTTAATGCGTAGATGTTTGGTACACTTGGTATTGTTTTATAATCAGTCAAACATTAAGTTGCAGTAAACTATAGTGCGGTCAAAAATTTGTTGCCCAACTTATTGTTGATTATCCCCCAACAAGAGAACAAACATTCTCCATTTGCAGTAAGACTTATTATCAATTTATCTCAACAGATGAATATTCTTCAAAACACATTCTAGAAATATCCTTAAACTAATAAAAAATCCCAGTTGATGGCGTCTACAAGTTTTTAAAGGTTTACATCCTATAGCAATATTAAAAGCAAGTCTGTCCTACTTTTTCTAATAGCGACACTATATAGGCCTACTTATGATCAGCATATTTTTAGAACCGTTTGTGAAATTAATGGTGTGGAAGAAAGATTAAATCTTTTATTTTACTCTGTTGATGGTTAAATTTTATAAAATTATTCATACCAAATCGTACAGGCACAAGCGCATCGCTACAGAATAGAAGTGGGTTACACTGTTCTTCACTCCTTTAACTTGTAATTTACATACTAACTATCTGGGTACCTGTGCGATGAACCGACTCAAAAAGAAACGAATGACAAGTCATCTTCACTTTTTTTTCTCATCAGACTAGTTATAAAGTCTGAGAAGAAATTCTTTACAATTTCATTTGTCATTTATCAGGACATCGTAAATACGCGGGGGCTAAAGTCTAACCACTAAAACGTGTCATTGGCGAGCTGTGATCTAGGCCACATATGCATGCAAAATGTGTGTGAAAGGCAGGAAGTGTTGTGAACACTTCCACTTTCTGTGTTAGAAATTTGTAGTATTTTATACATATTTATGAATTGATTTAAGTGAATGCTCAAGACTCATTTGTTTAATTCTTGGTTATAGTGTGTTAGTAAGTGCTAATATGTTTTGTTTTTACTGCTGTCCTTATGTGTATATAATTAATGTATGGTTGTGAAAGTTCTTCTTTATGTGGTTAAACTGGTTTTTCTTGTTATTGTAAAATATATTATTGCAGATCATGAACACAGTGTTCAGTTGATCGAAACCTGTAGATGACTTTGTGGGTTGAATCATTCAGTGATCATGCGGTTGATGCAAAGTGCTCAGAGCTTATATTCGTTTGAGATAGAACGCTAGATAAATGCAATCTATTATTATCATTAATAATTTGAGACAAATTGATACAAACTGCACTGTAAAGTACGGGTGACAATGATTCCCCAAGAAAAGAGAAGCTTGAGGACCATCATCATCATCCGGTGCCTTGCCGACTGGCGTGGGCGATCATGGACCTCCACTTCACCCTGTCCTGCGCTGCAGCAATGGTGTCTGTTGTTCTTGCTGCTCCCAACCATGTTGTCATCTTGTCCAGTATATTTTCCCTCTTTCTGCCTCTGCCTCTCTTTCCATCAAACTTTCCTGTTGTTACAATATTCTCTAATGCTTCTTTCCTCATTGTGTGTCCGCAGAAATTTGCCTGCCGTTTTCTTATTTTCGTGATAAGTTGTTTTCTATAGTTTGCTTCAACCAGGACTTCTTCGTTTGTTTTTCTAGCCGTCCATGGGATACGTAGCATGCGTCTTATGAACCATAACTCTGTCGCTACAATTGTTCTTTCCAGCTGTTTACTGATTGTCCACGCTTCCCACCCGTATAATAGGATTGGCTCGATGTAACTATTCAGTACTCTTTTCCTCGTTTTCAGTGACAGACTGATGTTTGTTAGTATCTGTTTCATCTTGTGGAAGGTTGCTTTTGCTTGGCAAATGCGGCTTTTAATTTCAGAGTGACATCTACCATCTGATGATATAATGGTCCCCAAATATTTTAAATGTTGTACTTGCTTGAGGGTGGTATCATTGATTTTGATATTGCATGTTGGGATTGGAGTTTTTCTGCTTATCACCATTGTTTCGGTTTTCTTGATGTTTAGGCTTAAGCCCATGTTGTCACTCTCTTGTACGATGACATTTAATAGATTCTGCAGGTGTTCTTCATCTTCTGCTATTAGGACTGTGTCATCTGCATATCTTAGATTGTTTATATTATGTCCCCCTATCGAGATACCAGGCATTTCTTCTGTGTCTCATGATATTTTCACTATACAGGGAGAACAAGTCTGGAGAAAGTACACATCCTTGTCTGACTTCTCTTTTAATCTGTATGTATTCGCTGATGTCGTTTTCTATTCTCATTGCAGCAGTTTGATCCCAGTACATGTTTTTGATAATCCTTAAGTCTTTCCCATTGATATTAAGAACTTCCAGCATGTCGATGATCTTGTTGTGCCTAACTTTGTCGAATGCCTTGGTGCAGTCTATAAAACATAAATGAAGATCTTTCTGAACTTCTAGGGCACGTTCTATTGTTGTTCTGATGACATATATGGCATTTACAGTGCCTTTGCCTTCAATAAATCCACATTGTTCTTGAGCTATTTCTGGGAGAATTTTATTTCGTATTCTCATCATAATTATTTTGAGTAATATTTTTGTTATGTGGCTCATGAGGCTGACGGTACGATGTGAGGACAAGTTGTGCCAAATATTTCTGACCGCACTGTAGCAAATTTTGCAATATTTTGATAAATCAAAATGCAGGGGTGAACACAAATATCTACTTGCCCAGTAGAAAAGTCAACTTGCCCGTTTTCAAACATGAAAACCATTAGACTGTCTATATTTCAAGAAATAAAAAAGGTGCAAATAGTACCGATACGTGATATAAAATATTCCTTTCTCTAGTATGAAACTTTCGCCATGATCCAGTTTAGACTACATCTAAATCTAGACCTAGAGCAAGGAAGCGATAGTCTCGATAGTCTTAGAGGTCTAGGCCTAGCAGCAGCAGCAGTAGTAGTAGTGACAAAATGCTCTCTCTCTCACTTTCTCGACTTCACAGAGAACACAGCAAGCATGGCACAGGCTGACAATGTGTCGTGATTAGTGCAGTGACTATAATAAGGAACACAATGACAATTAATAACATTAGGCTTAGCTCCTGTAGTGAATAATATTAATAATCAGAGTTTTGCTGATGTCATTGATAGATGCCACCTCTCTCATCATTAAGAGAATGCTCAAAAACAATGACTGCCTTGTGATAATAATGACTAACCAGGTCAGGGAGGTTAAGCAGCCATTCTACCTGCCAAACAGTGGTGGTTATGTATACCTGTCCTGGGAAGTCGAGCAATCCTTAATGATCACCCCTGAAATGGCTGCCATTTTCTTAGAAATTGACTAAAAGGTGAAAGAAAGAATGGTTCTGAAAATCTCAGGAGACATAGGCATTCCATATGGAAAAGAAAAATTCGTCATACAGCTACATCACATAAGTAACTTACGGATTGAATTCCCTTTTTGAAAGTGTAGTTGATTACAATGGAACCAGAAAATTCCTCATCCCCAAGGACACTTGCAGCAACATAAGAACAGGTCATGTCTCCCTCTGGTTGATTCCCAACAAGGACTCCAAAAGGTTTGCAACAGCTTGGACAGCGCTGGACTTTGCTACGACACACTGAGCACATGCGAAAACTGCAGCAGGGCATGCTGATGAGCCTCCTTTGTGGTTCTGCGCATATGACACAGCTGTCACTATCTTTCTCCTGAGAATCAGTAGGGTCATCTGAAAAAGAAAAATCCGATCCTTTGGTACAGATGCAAAAAGGATAGTGAAATCCAAAATTTCATTCTAGACGAGATTTTTGTCCCTTATGCAATTACTTTCTTCTGGGCATGGAGTCTTTGCGAAGAAGAGACCTCTTAAAAAGAAGAATAACATATATTAAAAAAACTATACAGTTAGTTCCTGACTCTACCTTCATTTAAAACAGGTGTTAGACATTGTGTCGGAAGTTACATATTGGCAGTGTGCGATGTTTACCGCGCAGCGGCCGAATTAGAAAAAAAAATTACCCGCCAGAGAAACCCCGAGTGTCAAAAATGAAGTCTTTACGGTAAAAAACATATATATACTAAACACGCGTCCCAACTGCAGGTTCAATTTGGGCTGTGCGAAGCGTGTGGGGGCGTGCCCTTTTCGCGTTACTAGTGACAGCTGTGAAATCTTGGCCAGCAAAGCATGTAAATGAATGCACCAGTCTGAGAGTATCACTATAACTGTTAACTTCACAGGTTCCTTGGCCTCACTCACCTTGAGGAATCCCCTTGTTTTGATCTGATTATTATTCACGATGTAAACAACTGTAACAGGTGAAGGAGTTTAAATATCTTGGCAGCACTTTTTCTGAAAACAGGTTCATAGACAGAGAAATAGAAATGCGAACTCAAAAAGCCAATGCTGTCACCTACTAGCTCGCACCCCTCCTATCTCATCCAAACATCTCCATGGACATAAAGAGACAGCTTATCACCTCAATATTCATACCAACATTATGTTATCAGTGCCAGACCTGGACCTTAAGCAAAACCCATGAAAGCAAAATCACCGCATGCGAAATGAAATGTCTCCGCAAAACCCTTAACAAGACGAAACAGGCCAGAGAAATGAAGAAGAGCAGCTATCGGCATTGAGTCCTGCCTGCGTTACAAAGAAAGACAGAGGATAAAATGGTTTGGCCACCTGTTACGCATGTCACCTGACCAGCCAGCCTTGAGAACCTACAACACCAAGCACTCAGGCTATAAAGGAAGAGGAAGGCCACGCAAAAGGTGGATCGAGGGTGTCAAGGAAACCCTAAGAAAACATAACTAAACAACTGAAAAAGTTGCGGAGCTGGCCTACCATAGAAAACTGCATCTCCCCTTGATGCTCAACGGCAACAGAGGATGAAAAAGCAAAAGTTAAGTAAGTATTATTCAGTCTCCAAATTTTACTTGAGTATAAGTTCCGTTATTCTCATCAGCAGAGCATCTTATATTTATACTAGGCCTACAATTAATTTGACACAGTACCTTTTCGTACACAGTTTCTGTTACTGTACTTAAAACATTTTCATAATTTAGATTTGGAATGTTTACTCTTTTACTTATAGTCGTATGTAGTAATAAGAATCTTACCCCACATTGGGCCTTTATTTAGAGAAGATGAATATAGAGCAAGACTGATTAAAAATTTTTCATTACTTTTGGGTCTTTTTAGCTTGTGTTTTCTGTTTGGTTGGTAGGCTGGTAGAAAATGGAAACCTTTTTCGTGGGGAGGATCGGATTCACATTTTCCCCATTTTTTAGTAAGTGTGTGTGTGTGTGTGAGTGAGAGGGGCGGGGTAGTGGGGGGGAAGGGAAGTTTCAGGAGAGAGGACTGTTTTTGTCACTTACTTCTTACTCCAGTGCTTGTGTTCTTGTTTCAACTTGCATTGTTGTAGTTTTAGTAAATTTTAGATAAGTAATGTCCTCATTTTTTAAAGTTATTCCTTGAAAAGTTCTTATATCTGAAAAAGTACAGTAACCCTTGCTCCCTCACAACTGTTTCCATGAGAAAAAAAAATTAGGGAAAATCCCTTGAACAGCTAGCTTTACCAGCCATAAATGTTTTGTCACCGAACAATGTAAGCATTGTGATTGTTTAACACAAATGGGACTGAGGACGAGAATACTCGCAAAGGCCAACTGCTTCTCCAGGACTGCCAGCCAGTACATTCGCAAACAAAATGATCTAGATCAAAATATATTTATACTTTCATTAGTCCATCTACTTTTAGTTCCGTTTTGATATTTTGCTTCCGATTTCTGGTAATTAAATGCGGAAAGCAATAAAATGAGTTTAAAAGGGTATTTGACTGAACCTGAGGTGCTTCACAGAATTTGTACGAACACTGACAGTCGTGTTGACTCAGACAATGACCTTGATTATTTGGATTGGTAGTCTTCAGAACATGATGAAAGTGATGAAACATAGATCTGGAACCAGTAATTATTGATTGAGGAGCAATTCACTGTATAAGTAGATCTACATCTAATCTGTTATCCTAGTTAGGAACTGACTCTGGACTGAAGCTTAATATTATATAATTGATTACACCAAAATGGCTCAAATAAAAAGCAAATATAAGATAAAAATGTGTTATGACAGAGGTAAACATATTATACTCTTAACAGTTTGATGAAGTTTCATATCTGTATAACTTAGTAAGAGGCAAAATTATTCATATTAGAAGCACCCATTTCTCGCATAGTCAGAAAGCAGGTAACAACTCTAATCCGAGGGAACTGAAAGTCAAATGTGAGGCTAGTCCTGTAGGTGTTAACAGGTCATTGACAAATGAATTGGCATAAAACGCAATTGACCTTCTCCAAATCATTCCGAAGCTAAATTTGAAATTATCTTTACCCATGACCACATTTGAACAATCATCCGACTCTTCTGAGTGGTCTGAAGTAGAAGCTTGCAGTTCAGGCCGAACTGGTGGGAAAGTCTCATCTGTGATGAATGGAACACAGTACTCGCAATTATGACAAAACCATGATCTACAAAGAAATACAGAATGACCACCCCCCCAAAAATGCTTTATAGGACTTTTAAAACAGGTAAGAATTGAATAAGGAGCAAGCATACATAGGCAAGCAGAAAAAAAAACAATGAAAAAGAGAGACACACATTAAAGCTCCACAGGAATGAAAATAGCATCTGAAAATAACGAAATGTGTCGCTGAGCAGTGGAATCGGGTGCTTGTTAATTTTTAGCCATATGGACCTATTTATCTTAAAGCTGGTTCATTTGTCTTGTATTTAATTTTTAAAAAATCCATCTGTCTTGAATAGAAGTACATTATAATATTATTGTAATAGAAGGCCCGGTGTCAGGGGAAAAATTCACACACACAAAAAAAAAACATCCGTTAAAGTTAGGTGGCTTCCAAAGCAGGAGAGTTCTTGGAACTGCAAATTTACATTTTTTGTGTCTTTAATCAATGTTTTTTAATTTTAGTAAATTCCGCACAGTCGTTTGTTTTCACGGGGCTTGGGAAGGTGTTTAGCCAAAAAAAATACTTTAAAAAAAGATAAGAATTTCCTTCGGGGCTGAAAAATGTCAGTGCACAAATATACACTTGTACACAGTGAGGTAAGAAAAGAAAAACAAAAGACACATTTGTACAACACTGGGATAGTGTTTGAAACTAAGCACTTCAATAATTTAAAATCTTTACCAATGTCCTCACCTGAATGATCATCCAGCGCTCCATGGCCGCTTGGAGGAAAGGCAAACACTTGTTCAAGGAGGGGAGCAAAAGTCCAATCTGTGGTGACTATCACCTCAGACAAACCTGACCTCATCAACTGTTTTTGCAAACACTGACCAAACTTGATGACAAGTTTGTTGTCTTGGTTTTCATCTGCAAAACATTTGTACAATAAGATAAGAATGGGAAAAAAAATGAAAGACACAACTAAGCAAAAATGAAGTAAGAATTTAATGTAACAAAAACGCATTGAGACAGAGACTCTAAAAATAAAGAGAAGAAGCCCTGAACAACAAGAAAAGAGGGTAAACAAAAATATGGTTTAGGGAACCTTCCATCTATCTCTGTCTCCCAACAGGCAAAATAGAAAGGCAGTTGATTTTGTACACAGCATCATATACTGACAGAGATTAAGAAAGATGATGGTAGAAATATAGGTCATGCAAATCTGTCCAAGGCAAAAGTTACCTTTGCTACGAGAATATTTTTTCAAACTATTCACACATGTATACAATTCTGTCTTCAGTAGCTTATTCATATCAAAGTATTTTTGCATTTTCCATTTTTAGGCGATTTTTCAGAGCTGTCCATATATTTGGCTAGGTCTTCACAGTGTTGGGAGTAAAATTTCCAGATCCAGTCACTTCTATAATCTTGAAAAAAACTTGAACTGTGTACTGTGCCATGCATACTAAAAAAAGAAAAGACTGAAAGATTAGAAAGAGATGTCTTCACCAATAAACAACATTTAATGTACATTTGGATACTAGGCAATATGATTGAGAAACTTCAAAACAATAAAACTAGAGGTTCTCTAAACGTGGAGAATTTAAAAAAACCCAAAAAAAACTCGAAAACAGAAAAAAGTTGTCTTAAGCTTCTAAAATGACAAATAATTGCCATATCTGAGATCTCTGTCAAAATCTTTCAATAAAAAAACTTTTCAACTTAGTACATGTATTCCCCAACTTTGACCATGCAATGGTACAGAAAACCCCCAATAATTACAGTGAAACTCGGATTTAACGAAGTTGTCGGGTATGATCTTCGATTTTGTTGAATCTGAGTCTTTATTGTAGTTATGTGAGCAACAAGTTGCATTACAAAGTAGGGCCTCGCATACGGCAACGTTTGCTTCCACTGATCAGTATGCAATCTATTACGTAGATCAAGATGTCTAGGCTAGCATTTCATTGCTCAGTAGCCGTGGGGAGTGGGTGGATGTGGCTGTGACGGGTTTGTATCTCTTCTGACTTACCACGCCCAAAACGTTTGTGCCTATGCCATCCATCCCTCCCCTTTCAATCCCCTCAGACTCAAGCACTGACAGCCACACATGTGCTGGCCGCTCAACAGACTTCTCTTGAACTGGGCACACACTAAGACATGTTATGTCTAATGCACATGACAGCAACGCACGTGTTGGTATGAAAGAAGACTTCTGATTGGTCGCATAAGATGTACCAAAGCTAAGTGAGTAATGATCCATGGTGCATATGCGACTGATGGTCTCTTGGAAAAGAGTAGACAAGGTTTGTTGCGGGAGAAAAATAAGTGAAACCACATCAGTGGGGGCTGTTCACTCTGCAAGCGACTTCATTGAATCTGAGTTCGCTCTCTTTGTGTTCGTTAAATTCGAGGTATTTTATTGATTTTAATGAATTAAAAAATGGGGAACCTGTCACTTTTCATTGAATCCAGTTTTCGTTGAAACCGAGTTCCACTGTACTCAAGTAGGCAAAGGCCTGACGGATAAAGTGACCACTCATTTGTAAGACTTTCTTCGGATGTGTCAAAAGATCAAATTGGAGTCACTTGTGAAGTGAGCAGGTTTCTGTCTTTGTCTGTCTAGGAATAAGCAAATAATGATGCGCAAAAAGTGAAAAAATAAATAACAAATATTAGCACTGAAAAATAACATTTCAACTGAGACTGCTGATTCGGCTGGACAGCATTGAAGATGCAGATAAAACAATACTTGAGATAAAACAACAATATGTCCATATGTCCATTAAAAAAAGTATAGTAAAAATCTTTACTATTTATCCATTACCTACAAAATTCGTAGACCAGACCCTCATCTCTTTGGTTTTAGCACAGGCCGGTAACATGTGATCAAAATTATAAGAAAAGAAAAGGATCGACAATGCAGTCTGGGTTGGGTTATTTTTGCTTTCCTTGTACATAAAGTAATGTTCTTGTGTCCACCAATATACTTATAAGGTCCTTAAAAAACAAACTAAGAACCATTGATGTTCATCATTTCTATCTCACATGTACCATCTTAAACTGTTATGTTTTATGCTGTGGCTCAGTCCTGTATAGTATTTTTCAAAAGAGAAGTACAATGTACTAAGAAAAGCAACACAAACAAATTAAAGTTCTCAGGTAGCAATCTCACCTGCATACAGTAATTTGCTTGTTATAACTACTGTTTTGATGTCTTTGAAGCCTGACTTCCGTTGATAGGAAGAGATGGCGGATGGAAGATTATCAAATGACCTCTCAATACTCATTGAAAAATTCTCTTCAAGAGGCAGGCAAATAAAATTAAAGAAAACACCCTTTCCCGATTCTTTATGGAGGCTTGAATCAAAGTTCGGAAACGTAGCTAGTTTTTCAAAGGGACAGCCAATAACAATAGTAACTGAAGCATGGACGTTTCTTGCACAAACAGTGGTAACTTTGACAGATGGATCCTTATCCAAGGAATTTCCTTCTCTTCTTTGAGCTCGAGTCTTTGAACTTGGACTGCCCCTTTGGCTATTGTCGTCATCAACGTTGCTGTTATACGAAGCACCGCTGTTTCGCCTTGAACTAGACCTGACTGAGGATTTTCTCTCCCTTTCTCTTTCTGAACTTGACACTCCAGTTGCACCATTTGGTGTCTTGTCATATTCACCGCTGACCCTGTGGGAACTTAGAGAGCTCTCTCTCGTAGTGAAACCGGCTGGTCGAAGATTGGCTGCAAATTCATTCACTTTATTTAGACGATACAAGACAAATTCTATGTCCTCCAGTCTCTCCTCTTCTGAAATGCTCAAATATGGAAAGCGGAGAAAAGCTTCCTTGAATTTCTTAACTGGAGGATTGTTACAATCCACAAAATAGACATCAGTAAGGCTGGGTTGTAGAATGCTGGTTTCATAGAGATGCTTGAATATGTTGATCCCTTTCACATAGCTCTCAAGGCATATATCAAACGGTACTGAAGCCATTCCTGGAGAAAAAAAAAAGATTTACATTTCTCATTACAAAACAAATTTCTCAGAATTTGACCCCAAAGTTTTAAATAACTGAAATGCATAAATGAAATGACAATTTCCCAGAACACAATATAAATTATTTGTTTTTGTTTTTGTAAGTGTTTTACGGCGCACGCAACTGCATAAGATCATATCAGCCCGGGACACATTTAACTTTTTCAGTTGGTAGGAAATTTGAAATTTTGAATTTTGCCCGGGTGGCGTCCGAAGCCTACTCTTATCGATTTTAGACCACCAAGGGATCTTTAACGTGCGCAACTTGCACACGGGCCATCCAAGATTTTTTGCCCTTGTCTGAGAAGGCTAGGTGTAGATCTTTCCAACCAGAAGATCAGGGGTGTGGCTGAAAGACAGCAGTAAGAAGAAGCCAAGGAGTAGCAGTAGAAAGGCTGTAGAAAGAATTTGGAGCCCAGAGGAGGGGGGCAAAGGAGATGAGGGAGTGGGGGTAGAAAGAGGAGATGAAAACAGATGACAGAACATTGCTAGAGAGCAGGAAAGTAGGTGAAAGGAGACAAATTTAGAGCAGAAAATTTTTCGGTCACTATCCGGATTCGAATCCGGGACCTTTGAATGAGAGGCCAACACCTAGGCCATGAGAGCCCCCATATATATATGCATGCTTGCTTATGCTCAAAATAAATTCTAGTTTTATATCTGAACATATTACCCATTCAATTAGGCTACCTTCAATTTGTTATCACATGTTAGCTTTTGAGTGATGGTTATGTTTAATATCAAGCTATTTTGTACATCACCTGTATAAACAAATCGAGCCAGAAATTGATTACACCTAAACAACAAAAAACTATGTCCAGAAAGAATTAAGTTAACACTTTTGTCTTAGCATCAGCATCCTTTTACTGCCTCGTATGAGAGGTGCTCCAAGGGGCTAAATTCCCATCACTGATCAATCAATTGTGTACTTTCATTTCATGTGACATCATGTGACCACAAGATTTCTTCACAGAGGACACTCGAGGAAGGCCTTCCACAGGGGTCAGCACTCAGCTGTACCCTCTTCCTGTTGTTTATGAACGACTTGACAGATGTCATCTCCTGCCAGAAAGCACTTTACGTTGACGACTTACTCATCTGGAGCAATGGAAGTGACATGAGAGCACTGAACCAAGCAATCAATGCAGACCTGGTTGGTTGAAAGTGACGGTCGGTGACGATCGCAACGGCCAGCAACGGTCGACGGAAGTCGGCAACAGTCTGCATTAAGTATTGTATGTCAACTGGCTGTATGAGTGACCAAAAGACTTATTATCTGTCTCTCTTTCTATCTTTTATTTCTCTCTCTTCCTGTCTTATTTATGTAAAGAAAAATTATTTGTACTCTATATTCTTAACTCTCTCTCTCTCTCTCTTTCTCTCCAGTGTTGCACCGTGCCCACCAAAAGACAAAACAGAGTTGCCTAACCACTTCGTGGTCATTCAAATGGAAGATACTGAAGATGAAGATGATGATGAAGATGATGTTGTTGTAGATATTGATAATGATGTTGATGATGATTTTATTGTTGATGATGATGATATTATTGATGATTATGATGATGTTGATGATGATGATGATGATGATGATGATGATGATATGATGAGTGATACTAATAGTGGTGACGTTAATGCTGAAAATGATGATTATGGTGAAAGTCATGATGACAGGGGCAATGACAAATCTAGAGATGACCAAAAACTGCTAATAAATGATTTCTTCACAACCTCTGAGGTCTTACATCAGCTAAAGGATGGCATGTCCAATTGTTGAGAGAATACCGACAGGACCAAAGAGCAATTTTGCATCTTTGCTTGACAATGCACGCAACAATCATCAATGAAAGGAGACTGAACAAAGAAAAATGCACCTTCAATGATGACTGTGGTGCTTGGATTAAAACTAACACAGCCAAATACTACTACCAACCTCGTCAAGTCAGAAAGTGCCGAGATGCAAAAGTTGTCAGCCTGGCTTTGTGCACACTCAAACTTAAGAAAAACGTTGCAAGACATTTGAAGGATAAAGTTGGTGTTGCTTCCAGACAGAGGAACGTTGATAAATCAACTCTTTGGAGATGACCGGCTTTCAAACTCATCAGACGAGGTCACCTTTGATGTGAGAATGGAAAACCTGACAACGATGAGGCTGGAAAAAGACACGCCCTATCTCAAGAGGACAGGGCAACAAATATTGGAAAATGTGCTAAAGCTGAACTGGAAAGGCCAGCTAGAAGACACTCAGTGGACCAACAACAATGCAGGGTCTCTCAACCATATATGCTGAAGAATATGGTTGAATGCAAACCGAGAGAGCTCCCTGACCCTATAAATAAGCTGAAAACACTGGCCAAGGCTCAACAAGTGGACGTAGCACTTTGTTTTGTCATAAAAAATAAAAGGAAGGGCCTATTTGCAAAGCCACGTTAATGCGATTAGCGCCAGTTAAAAATAAAACACTGTATTGCGATTAGCACCAGTGCTAAATAAAACGCCGTGTGTTAAATGAAGCTTAATCTACCTTTCATTGTTGGAAATTCTGATGGCTGAGGGCTGAGGGACAGCCTGTTTGCGTTTGAAGCCAAACCATTATTTTATGAGCATGGGTTCCATCCCTCTCCTGGAAGTTTTTTTGTTTTTTTGTCCACTTCTCGACTGACCGTCAAATTTTCCCCATAATTATTTTATAACTTGTTGCTTTGTAGTTTTTTTATGTAGTGATGAAGTATGCACATGCTGGTTTTGTCCCCAAAAGGAGCTCTGTACAAAGTAGGCCATAGTACAGCATATACTTTTCCTTTAACCAATTTAGGCCTGGTCAAAGTTCAATAGTGGCTTTCCTTGGTCTGTGAGTCTATTTTTTTGGGGTTTAATTTTAGGCTCAGGAGAAAAAAGAAAAACCTTCTAGGACCGGGATTTCATCACGCTTGGAAGCACTGAACATTAGACTTATAGAACATAGACAGCTTGTATACATTCCCTAGGCCTAACTTAAAGTTAAAGATACTATTTTTAGGTAGATCTGTTGTATGAAGACACTGCGGAAGGAAATACTGCTTATACCGAGTTGCACCGTCTTGTTATTGTTATCCAAGCGCCGTTCAACTTACTTGCTCAAACTCAAACGATTATGATTATGAGAGGTGAACAATACTACGTCTAGTCTACTTTTGTGCAAACAATGTCAGAAACAAAAATTTATTGTTAGATGTGATCTAGATCTAAATCTACCCAATATTGATCAGAATAGGACAACGTCATAAAAAAATGGAGTCAAATCCTAGAAGGTAAGTTTCAAGAAACTGAAAAAGCTTCCACAATTCAGGCAGAACAACAATATCATGTAGAAACCATGGCTACTAGATCTAGATTCTAGTACTGGCGTTTCAAATAGCATGGGAGCTATTCAGAACGCGGCGTTGCAAATAGTGCCTGCCAAAATAAAAACTTAGAGGGAAATGCCATAAAGTCTTTTGGTCACACATACAGCCAGTTGACATACAATACTTAATGCAGACTGTTGCCGACTGTCGCTACCATTGCCGACCGTCACCTTCAACCAACATAATATAGGAAGCCCAGATATCAAGACTTTTCAAGGTAACAAATTGCACAAAGTTAATGTTAACCACAACATGTTCCTCACCATAGCTAATAAATGGAAGAGCGATGGACTTCATGTTCAGCCGATGAGCTGCGGCCAAGCAGGAAAGTATGGTCCGTCTTAGATCTCTTTTACATCTGAGTTCATCACCATTGTACTTTCTGTAAATAGGTCCGACAGTATGAAATACATAGCTCACGGGCAGGTGTCCTCCTCCAGGTGATACAAAAACTTCACTGACATGCAGAATGTTTCCTGCCTCTATGAAATTGTTACATGCATGTTTCAATTTATTTTCTGAAAAGCTTAATTTGAAACTATCTGCTTTTGACAAGATGGCTTTTGACACTGCACTTGTATTAGATTTCCCAGGTCTTAAGTTAGCATTGGTTGGGCTTACAATGCAATCTACCGAAAAAGAAGTGATATCTGTACACTTAAAGTGCACTTTAAACTCATTTTGACTATGGACTTTTTCTCTTTTTCGTCCAACAGTCCCCGTAGCCATGATGAAATGTGTTTGTTCTCCTTAATCTAGATTTCTAGATCTAGATCTAGATCTAACTAGATAGAACTAGGTTCTTCCAGGCCCAGCTGAAAGACTAAATGAAAGCAAAACATTCTAGAATCTAGACTAGATTCTAGATCTTTTGAATTGATGCACGCCGCTCGTTCTATTGCTGTTTTGGGCATATAATTCGAGAAAAAAAATGAAAGCAGTGAGTGTAAAATCCAGATCTGCTCTTCTGCACAAGCCTACTAGATCTAGGGGATCACAAGAATCAGGCAAGTGAATCTACACCTAGCCTAGATCTATAATCTAGATCTAGATCTAGATCTAGATATGATATGATATAGATCTAGATTTCTAGAATCTAGTAATCTAGGATCAAGATCCCAATTTCCGAGTCGAATCTTGAACAAACAACAAATCCTTTCGTCTAAAGACGGGATCACATTATCCTAGTGAACCTCTCAGGACCTCTGCTGAACAGAACAGCTCCGCCCAGTAGAAAGTACAAAGCAAGCTTTACCAAGTTACCATGAGCACAGAGAATGCGTGTCGGTTTTCAGATGCGAAATTCTTTTTCCAGGAACACAAACTGGAAACCCGGAAAGTTATTTATAGACCTCCGGAAGGAACTTTCACGCATGCGTGTTTGGAAAGAAATTGTAGGGTTGCCAGATGAGATGGAAGAAAAGAAACTGAAGCGAAGTTCTCACAATGAGATTGTTTACATTGCAAATCGAACACTTTCATTTGTTTTGTGTTATGTTGTTTTCCCCCTCCCCGTTCTCATTAAGCTTCATAGCATAATTTAGGATTGTATTTGTTTTCTCTCAAATGAGCCGCCGAGTATTTTTTTGAAAAAAAGAAAGCAACATTCTCTCTATACAAAATCAGGTGATCATAAATCTCGTTTTAGTTTCAGTTTTGTTTATAGTCTGTCTATAATAAAAGACGGGGAAGATTGAAGAATACCGGACCACTCGTATACATTATTGCGCGAGAATATGGGCTGGGTGGGGCTAGATCTAAACTCTAAACAGAAATTGATCATCATTAACTCGCAGTGCTTAAAGCGGAAACGGACATGTTTAAAAATTTTAATTAGTAGAGAAAAAGAATGCTTCACTGGAACAATATTAGATTCTAAAAACAAAAAAATTAGAAAAAAGTTAAGAATTTGAAGTTATAAATACATGTAATATTATTGTACATGGGCCATGTGCACTCTTCAAACACTGCTCTCATATGCTCCGCAAATTTTGAAGTCATTTATGGTTGGGTGGTTTTGGAGTTTTAGGCAACCAAAAATTACCAAGTGGGGCCCTCGACGAAAATTTTTATTGCAGTTTCAAAACACAGCAAGCGTGCATCAGTAGGCCTAGACGTCATGTTCACATATAGTAACCATGAAGCACAACAATGGGAATTAAACACACTAAAATAGAGAAAAAATTAAACAGGTCGCAATTAATGCGCAGGACTTTATGGACAGACTGTATCATTATACGAGTAGATTTAGGATTGACTCAGCAGAGCGAAAGACATATTGTACAAGTTTGCCACCTTCTTAACACAAATCCAGAATTGTTATAACAGATAAAAACAAGAAAATTGTAGTATTTCGGAGATATATGTCATTCTTTAATCTGCAGGACTACATTAGAGTGTAAAGTGGAGCGAACAAGACCGAGAGTCACATGATGATAGATTGGCGTCTAACGGGAGCCATAAATGGTGACAGGGAGGGCCCTGCGGCCCAGTTTGTCACAGGACAAACTTTGTCATAGCCTGGGCCCAGTTTGTCACAATTTCTTTGAAGAATTTGAGTCTTGATGACAGTAATAATTATAGATCTACAGCACTTACACTAGTCGTAACTAAGTTTTTAAAAAATCTCCATGCACCTTCAAATTGGTTTTGTAAAGATAGTCCCTCTTTAAAGGGGGGGACATTTCTCGTTCAAACACAGTAGAACTGTAAATGGGCTGATCCATGTCACGCTCATAACTGTGCCTGATCTACAACAGGGAACTGCTGCTTTTTATTTCTTAATCCTTACTATTGTAATTTTCCTCTACTTCTTTAGTATGTTTGTCACTCTCTTGTGACTTGCTATTTCCGGGGTGACTTTATAGTCGAAGCAGACCTTATGCTGTTGAAGCTAGAGAGGTGAGTCGAATAAGTCTGATTCCCTGTAAAGACAATTGATCTCTGTTGACACCCACCCCTTGGCGCTCATGACCTTATGCAATTGCGAGCGCCGTAAAACCCTCTACATGTACTATATAAAAAATATTCCTTTTTGTATGCAAATCATTTGTATGCAAATCATTTGTATGCAAATCAAAGCAAATTACTCTGTAAAATTTTAACAGTGAATGTTCTTTCGTTTATAAAAACAGTTGAAAAATAAAATCCAATACATAGGCCTACTACCAATCAATCATTCATTTACTTTTTTACGTGTCATTGATAACTTCCATCAGACTTCTTTCAACAAAAGATCTTAAGGGGGGATCGCGAGGGGGGGGGGGGGGGGGGGGGGGGGGGGGCTACACCTGAAGTCTATCTCGCTTATTACTGGACCAAATTTTACCCAATTTCACACGTATAACAAGCATAGTAAGGAATCTTTAAATCCGCAATCAAATTTGAGAAAAAGTTTGTTTCCATGGATACGGCGGCCATATTGGATGTTGTTGACATGTCTTACGTAATGAATACTGCACTTATCCCTCATGGAAATTGAATGTTTTTTTGCATGCGTGTTCACAAACATTAGATCTAAAAATGTGTCTGTTGTTTTTTTCCTAAACGAATTAAAAACATTTTAATGAATTTTTTCCTGAGGTAGCATTCAAGTTTTCAAAAAATCCTTAAAAACACACACTCCAGACACCATAAAAAAATCTATTCAATATATCAAAAATTCAACAGACAAATGTTTAGTATTACATCTTCTCTTTATTCTGTGAAAATTTCATGGAGATTGAGTGAAAAATGGTACAGTTATTCAAAAAAATATAGAGAAAAATCGCGTTTTGAGAAAACGACCGATAAAGAAAAAAAACCCTGACTTTCTGAGGAAATGGCGGTGACAAACATGCCCGGGTGTGGGAAAAAATACGATTTTGGTGGGTTCTTATGTGATGAAATAGTTGTAGGAGAGGCTGAGGAAGCTAACAATGGCCACAACTCAAATTCCACAATTTTTACTTTGGGGGTGTAGCGCCCCCCCCCCCCCCCCTTAATTTCATTTTAGTTTTAGGGGTAGAACTTGCACCTCCTTATGTGTGTCTTCGCGTCGCGTGTGATCCTTGCCGCTCTTACATCAATCTGGTAAGATTATATTATAGAAACCGACTCCTTATTTATTAGTTTGACACTGCTTTACAGAAAGTGAAAGTTATATAATAGGTGAAGTCCCTCATTTTCCTTGACACGACTGTGTGACGTCAAATATGGCTGGACTGTGGACTTCTTCTACTGACCATCATCTCAACAAGGAAACGCCGTAGACAGGACTAGATTTTAGAAATCAATGATCCATATTCTACAGACAAGCTCATTGAGCAGAACTTGAGATTGTGCAGAATTTTTTTTTAAAAAACGTTGTTTTTTTTCTTCTAATCCACAGATTATGTAGTTATTGAGTTGAGAAGTGTGCTCTCTGTGTTATGCGTGCATGCATGTGTGTTAGTGCCGCGCGCGCGCGCGCGCGCGCGTGTGTGTGTGTGTGTGTGTGTGTGTGTGTGTGTGTGTGTGTGTGTGTGTGTGTGTGTGTGTGTGTGTGTGTGTAATTATGTGAGTTCAAGAAACACAGTATGTTTAGGCATACATATTTTGTTATTTTTTAAAACGTGAACAGTGCCTTGATTTCCTCAGTATGTGAACGTGTCTCCAGTATGGAATAAAGTAGACACAATTTATTCCTATCCAATATAGATCTAATATATTATGATCTACTGACACGCAGCTGTGGAAAGAAATTTGGGGTAAAAAAATAACAAGTCGATCTATAGCAGAGATGGAACATTATTGTTCAGGCTTATAACAGACGGTAGAAGTATTTGGCTTTTTTAAAACGGGAAGCTGTCTAGCTACAGTAAGTTTATGACATTATGATGCAGGATATCAGGATATCAGGATATATATAATATATATATATATATATATATATAAAGCCTACATACACATATATTACACCAATAAAATTAGGCATACGGTGGGCTTTCTTTTAAGCCACTTAATTCCTCATTCTCTCACATCTGGGAAACGAGACACAACATAATTGCAATCGTAACGTTTTGACAAGATGAGATCGAAAGACAAGAGCCATGCATGTAATTTCAGTTGAAATAATTAGGAATTAGGCGTCTAATCTTACTGAATCTTCTTAGATTAGGATACGGTCAAGGAGGTTAATTACAGTTTGTTTTATATTATATAAGCTCCTTGGGTACGGTATATTATATGCAAAGGCTATAAGTCGACATAACTGCCTTGGACATCAGTTCACAATTCTTGCTCTCAATTGGGGAGGGGGGGGGGGGGGATAAAAAAACGGCAACAGAGGCAGAACTATAATACATGTAGCTTACAGACAGAACTTGAACAATGAACGGTCGGATGGGTGACGGAAAAGAGCAGGATAAAAACAATACGAAGTGACTATTTCTCCGAACGCTCGGGAAAATAAAGTTGTACTTTATTTCTCCGAACAGTTTCTGATCTCGAGATTTTTTGGTTATTTGCGAGATTTATAGGCGTCATCCTGCCTTTCTGCGAGGACTGGGATGAAGCATTTTTTGCATCGAATTCAAAGTCTAGAGCTAGAGATTTTTTTAATGTCTTCATATTCAGATACTTCTGTTGTGGTTGGGGCAACGTTCCTGGACTATACTTATTTGAAATTACCCTCAAAGGGTACTGCAAGAAAACAAGTCTGCTCGACCTTGGCCGAAACCTATTTTGCATTTAGTCTCCCAGCAAAAACTAAAATCCTTCTTGTAACCCCCTCCCCCCCCCCCCCCCCCCGTTCACACCTCACACACACACACACACACACACACACACACACACACACACACGCACACACACACACACTCACACACGCGCGCTTATTATCAACAAATCTCGAGAACGGAAACTGTTCGGAGAAATAAAGCTCAAGTTTATTTTCCCGAACGTTCGGAGAAATAGATCTGATCTTTCTTAGACGGGGTGCCCACTACGGACGGGATCGGCCGATCGGGCCAATCGCCCGACTATCTCGCCTCAAAAACAAACGTGTTTGTTTTCAGTTTCAGGCGATCGAGTCGGGCGATCGGCCCGATCCAGCCGTAGTGGGCACCCCGTATTAGCTTCCGAGCAGAGTAATGAGTGGCGCAGATGAGATCAAGCGCTTGAAGTTGAAAATGTACAGATACCGCTCGGTTTGTGATTTGCACGCAAATATAATATATTAATACTATTATTATACCAGAGAGTTTACAGTAATACTAAACCCTCTCTGATTATACTGAACGGAGACATAACAAACGATTGTCCTGGCCCCACAGAATTCTACACTTAAGTGTAGAATTCTGTGCCTGGCCCAGACGTGCAAAGATTAGAACGGATCGCTAGGCCAGAGAGGGATCAAAGAAACATGCAGCTAAGATTTGGAGAATCTTTGCCTCTTTGGCCTTGGCTGACCAACTACTTTTGACTTTTGAGCACAGAATTCTACGTGCTTTTGAGTGTGTGTGTATGTGTGCCGTGTGCAGAAGAGGTTGTTTCCGCTTTTAGCGTAGCGACAAGGAAATGTTTATAAATGGCTGTCGTAACTGTATACACAATACATGAGAATTATCACATGCGCATTTCCTTCGTAGATTATTATTCATAGTTCATGTACGTGTGCCGATACATCAGCTATACGAGGAAATTGGAGCACTACAAATTTAGTTATAAATAGATCTAGGTCCTAAACAAAAGGTGAAAGAGAAACAGTTAAAAACAATAGATCTACTACGCCCACCAACTAGTACTTTTAGAGCCTACCATGAAGAAAGGTTCTGGCGGAGGGGCTGTCCCGAAAGAGGTAATACACTAGCCAAGGACTAGGACGTGAGCATTGATTGGATTTATAACAAACGAATTATAGGTTCATATTCATATGAAGAGAGACAGGAAATTTGTAGTCTCCCAGTGACCAAATTTTGTTAATCCACAGTGGCACTGTTGGAATTTTGCAAATTAAATTAGCCTGTGCATGAATGTTGAATTTTATAGCTCTTTAACTTTGCCAAAAGTCACTACTTTTGCCTTTGCTATGACAGATCCTACTATTCTATTTATTTTTTTCTTACTGAAACCATGTTGATCTAGATGTGCAAAATAAAACCTAGGCTAGTGCCAGATTTCCGGAGCAAAAAAAACATAAGTCAGCGACGAAAAGATTATATATGCTGCACGAAACAATTAGCCTAGATCTAGAAATCTAGAATCTAGTTTTTTGGTGGATTTCTTTTTCTTTTTTTTTCCATGCTACTTTAAATACTTTAATTTTACCAACTTGAGTTGATATTTGAATCCTAGTATTGAAAATCTGAAAATTTCAATTACATAGAAATTGATGTAACTGCATATGGTATTTTCAAATGGTTGCTGTTTGTGTAGTCTTAGATGGTTCCCATTGGAACATTGGTTTGGTTTGGGCTTCAGTGCCCTCTATAAATAGAAACCATGGCCTTGAAAACAAACATGATTTAATTTTAGAAAGGCTCGTTGAATTGAAAGCATATGTAAGATGTTGCTGAGTCATCATCATCAATGCCTTTCACCCCTGGCCGGGTATAGGCCATATACAAGCTAATAATTCCATTTATCTCTGTCCTGGGCCATCATTGCATGCTCGTTCCAAGTGAGCTTCATATCTCTCTCATGTGTCTTTTCTCGCATCTCCTCCATGTTTCCCGTGGCCCACCCCTGCCTCGTGCTCCCTGTGGGTTCCACTGCTGTGATCTTGTGATGTTTCCACTCCTTGTTGCCTAGTACAGGCTACTTAATTTATTAAGTCATTCAGATGCTGAAAGTAAACCATAACATTTTTCTTTCAGGATCATTTCTACAGAATTCTGATGTGTTGGCTTACTTTTTAATAATTTGTATGTGTATGTGTAATTATAATGTGGGTGTGTGTATTCATACACACTAGAGTTGGGGCGAGCGGACGGACAGGTTCGTTACTCGTGGACTCTGTCTGAGCGAACGGGTAACGGATGGCCATGAGAGCGGACTGCTGACCTCAAGCCTCAAGTCAGTTCGTTTCTTAAGTCTGCTACACAATTTTATTCACTGAGTGGGCGGGCGAACGAACGAACGAACTCTAGCAGACGAGATACTCGACGCGAGATTAGACCCGTCGTCTATTGTTTGTTAATTAGGCCTAATGTTTCAAACCACTAGCAGTGCCACAGGGAGTGAGAGAGGCTGGTGACGTAGTACTATGTGTGTAACCTTTCACAAGTCGAAGCTTAAAGAATTCCCAAAGGCCTTTGGGGGGGGGGGGGGAGAGGTGGAGGGAGGGTAAAGAAATTTCCGCCATGAAGGCCTAGTTACAATGTGGGGCAGGAGGGTGGTTTCTTTCGGGGGGGGGGGGGGGGGTAAGTAGTATGCAATAGAAGGACTCGCTCCCCGTCCGTCCGTACGCCCGTTCGAATGCATGGAGTCTCTCCGTCCGCCCGTCTGCCTGCTCGCTAAACGAATTGTTGTCTCTGTCCGATGTGTGGCGAGTAGCGAGTAGCGAGTAGCGAACTACTCTTCACAAGCGGACAGTTTTACCCGTCCGCTCGTTTGCGAGTAGTGCCAACAAGTAGTTCGTTACTCGTGGACGCTGATTTAGCGAGCCTGACCCAACTCTAATACACTCGCATATATTATATATATATATATATATATATATATATATTATATATATATATATATGTATAGTGGAATCCTGTTATAACGAGAGGGAGGGGACCGGAGCAAAATGTCTGTTACAGCAGGATTCTCTCTATAAGGGATCCAGTAATAATTCAAGGGAAATTGTAAAGTAGGCCTAATCTATGAGATTGATTTTCTGTTTATTTCCTTTTCCTATCTCTCAGATGATGATTTTGTCTCAACATGACTTCTAGGTGTTACTTTATCAAAAATTGGATCAGGTTTCTTTTTCTAGTGCTAGATCTAGCGATGTGGACTGACAGCTCGGCATTTGCGATCAGAAAGAAAGGGCTCTGGGCTAACTCGCCAGCTGTGTTTTCCCCCACCTCACCCCACCCTATGGGGCTTTCTGTCTGCTTGCGCACGTCACGCATTCGCTCCATCCATCACATTGCTGTGACCTCTCCATCCCCGCATCGGAGAAGTGAGAGGCATGGTAGGCCTTGATAACTAAACTAGGCTTACACTGGCCTATCACGCGATGCGTTCTGCTAGTCTGCGCATGGCACACCCTCCCTACTCAGTCGCTCCGGCCTTCATTGTTGACACACATGGGCTCTCCTATTCTTTGTTTCGCAAGATCACCAACAAGTTTCTCAACTGGTGAGGTTTTGCAATGGCCTATGCACTGAGCACAGCAGCAGCAATATTCCGCTATAACCGACTCGCAGGTTTGTTTGATAGCGCTATAGCAGTATTTTATTTACAAATGTAAAGAGGAGAAAAAAACAGGGTTTTAGAATAGTGCCTTTATAACAGACTTCTCGTTTTTTCCTGACTCGTTATAAGTGGACTCCACTGTAT